TTTTCTGTGGACCGCTACACGGGCCAGATCCGAACACTTCGCTCCTTCACGGAGACGGACGAGGCTGAGCATCGACTGCTCATCCTGGTCAAAGACAACGGCAACATTTCGCTCTCAGCAACAGCCACCGTGACCGTCAAGCTTGTAGAGCCGAAAGAAGCTTTTGCAGCTTCTGACATCAAAAGTGCAGCAAAAGTGGACGAGGAGGACAACGTGACTTTTTATCTCATCATCACTTTGGGCTCGGTGTCGCTCCTTTTTGTCATCAGCATCATCGTGCTAATCGCCATGCAGTGCTCCAAATCCACAGAGTACACTTCCAAATATCTGCAAGACGCCAATTATGATGGCACACTGTGTCACAGCATCCAATACAGATCAGGAGACAAGCGCTACATGCTAGTCGGCCCCAGAAGGAGTATCGGTCCCCCCGTAGTCCCGGGCAGCCATGCCAACACTCTGGTGCTCCCTGACAGGAGACACACTTCGGGGGAGGTAAGACAGACATTTTTTTTTTCATTTTTACTGAAAGCACACACAAAACACAACGTTTGGTAACATTAAGAACATTGTTTCTCAACTATTGTCGCCTTTGGACCCACATCTTCCTGTTGTGGCAAGGTCACAACTCACATGGAAGTTAAGAACAATCAAGCATTTTTTTAAGTAGCCTCTGAAAATACATACCTACGCTGTTTCAAATGAACTTGAGTGTACTGTATCACCAAAAGCAAATTGCTCGCTATGACGCCCGCAAGACCAAAGGTTGAAAAGTTGAAATGCATTTTGTTTCGTGAGTAAACTTGTGCCTGACTGGACCACGATTAACATTTCCCGTCACTTACTTTTTAAAAAAATATATGTTATTGTTATTATTAGCTCTCCTCAACCCACAAAATGGCTCTACGACCCACTTTTGGGTTCTGATCCACCAGTAGAGAGTCAGTCATTTAGAAAAAAGTTCTTTGAAAAAGACCTTTAAATCCCACTTAATATTTTAGTTTCTGTGTTTGTTTGTTCTTGTCATGACTGAATGGATATTAGTTAATAAAGAAGGCAAAGGTGTCCAAACATATTTTAACCCTGGCAAATTAGTTAGCATCTTCTTCTGGTTGTGATGGACTCAAACAAGACGTTCCATTGTTCGTCAGGCCAGTTGTGAGAATGCTGTTTTACTCAGTCCGTCATTTTCAGGTCTGGCGCTGTCTGTGGTGCTGAACGAATGCCATTGAATCCACATGACTGAAAAGCAGTGTTGGGAAAATTCATTTTTTTCCACGAACTTGTTCAATTCACAAATGTAAAATTAATTATTAACTCAGTAATATAGTCCCCGCACCCTTAATATGTTGCTGTTGACTATTCCCCTCAAAATACAGACATTTCGATGACAGACCCATTCATTCAGTCCATCCACACGAGGCAAGCAACTTCCACCCTGCAGCCATGTTGCTTGAATGCTTTTTTTAAAAATGAGGAATTACAGAACAGCAACAGTCCTGTAGTCCTTTGCGTGCAAGCAGAAATACATTTTGAGGGAGCAACTCGGCTGGGACAGAAAACTAGCTGTCACACACATAGCCAGTCTTCAGGCTACCTACCAGCGACTTCAGAGCGCTCCCAATCCAATTGGTTCTCCATCTTTTTTTCACCACAGCGTCACAGCGCCATAATACCGAGGATAATCGTCCACTGGGTGTCAGTGTTACAACGTGGATGGCCCAGCAAAATGTGCTCTTTTAAAAGAGTGTTATTGCTGGACCACAAAGAACACAATCGCTTCGGCTCGCATGGAGACCTTTCTCTGTCTGAGCGTGTTTCTTTATTTTTAACCACGGGTTACGTGTGGAAAATATTTATTGCTATTCACTTCTGGTGTTTTAAAGAGTTGCTCAAACGAGGATAAAGGAAGAAGGCGGAGAAAAAATGTTTTGGACGCGCCCTGTGCTTTTTTCCCTCGTGATTTGTTACGGACAGCTGGTTTCAGCCCAGCTGAAATATTCCACCGCAGAAGAGGTTAAGGTTGGATCTATTGTTGGGAATGTTGCAAAAGATTTGGGCCTCGACATCGGCACTTTGACGAGCAGGATGTTTCGCCTTGTGTCTGGCGCACAGGACGCGCTGTTTGAGGTAAACCCGAACAATGGGCTTCTGTTGGTGCATAAACGCCTCGATCGCGAGCAGCTGTGCGACAAAAGCGCTGTCTGCGTGATGGATCTCAAAATTGTTGTTGAGAACCCACTGGAGATCCACTATGTCTCCGTGGAAGTGACAGATGCCAACGACCATGCACCGACCTTTGCAGAAAAGGGGAAAATAATAGAAATAGCAGAAAGTACTTTATCTGGTGTACGGTTTCAGTTGCCAGGCGCAAGAGACCCTGATGTTGGAATGAATTCAATCCAGCGTTACAAATTGAGTCAGAATGATCATTTTCAACTTGAAATTCGGGATAGAGATGATGATAAAATTCCATTTTTAGTGTTGCAAAAACAGCTAGACAGGGAAGAGAAAGTGAACCATAGCTTAATTTTGTCTGCTATAGATGGAGGGACACCATCTAAATCTGCAAACCTTAATGTGACGGTACGTGTTCTTGATGTCAATGATAATCGACCTATTTTTTCCAATGAAGGATATTCTGTTGTACTGAAAGAAAATGCAGCATTAGGCACCGCTGTAATCAGAGTGCAAGCCACTGACCTGGATGAGGGAGCGAATGGGGAGGTGGAATATGATTTTGGGGGGGACATGAATGTAGAGGTGAAGCGTCTTTTCAGTCTGGACAAAATATTGGGAGTAATTCGAGTTGATGGGCAAATTGACTTTGAGACATACAATGTTTTCAAGTTAGATGTGCAGGCTTCTGACAAAGGTCAGCCTCCCATGACAACAGACTGCAGAGTCATCATAAAGATTCAAGATGTGAATGACAATAAACCCGACATCGAAGTGACATCAATTACTAGCATGGTGCCAGAAGATGCAAAACACGGGACTGTGATTGCACTCATTAGTATCACCGATAATGATTCAGGCCTTAACGGTAAAGTTATCTGCAGTCTAACAGAAAATGTGCCGCTTGAATTAAAGCCATCATTCAAGGAAAATATGTATTCCTTAGTGACAAAAGACACTTTAGATAGAGAAACGAAATCAAGTTATGACATATCAATAACAGCGACTGACTGTGGTGAACCTGCCCTTTCCACATTCAAAACTGTAAACATCCAGGTAAAAGATGTAAATGATAATATCCCAGAATTCCCACAAAATCCTTTAGAGTTATATCTGACAGAAAACAATGAAGCTGGTGCTTCCGTCTTTTCGGTGAGTGCCTTTGATAAAGACTTAGATGACAATGCTGCAATATCTTATTATATTGTCAGACAGGGGGGTCATACTGATATGACATCTTTCCTGAATGTCAATTCAGAAAATGGCCAAATATCCGCACTGAAAAGTTTTGACTTTGAGACGCTGAAAAGTTTCCAATTCCAAGTGGTGGCCACCGATGGTGGAAGTCCTCCACTGAGCAGCAACGTGACAGTGAAGGTGTTCATTCTGGATCAGAACGACAATGCTCCAGTCATCCTGTATCCAGTCAGCACGAATGGTTCTGCCGAAGGGGTGGAGGAGATTCCCCGCAACCTGAAAGCAGGAGACTGGGTGACTAAAGTCCGAGCCTATGACGCCGATATCGGATATTCACTCTCGGCAACAGCGACTGTGACCATCAAGCTCGTGGAGCCCAAAGAGGCTTTTGCAGCTTCCGACATCAAAAGTGCAGCAAAAGTGGACGAGGAGGACAACGTGACTTTTTATCTCATCATCACTTTGGGCTCGGTGTCGCTCCTTTTTGTCATCAGCATCATCGTGCTGATCGCCATGCAGTGCTCCAAATCCACAGAGTACACTTCCAAATATCTGCAAGACGCCAATTATGATGGCACGCTGTGTCACAGCATCCAGTACAGATCAGGAGACAAGCGCTACATGCTCGTCGGACCCAGAATGAGTATCGGTTCGACCGTAGTCCCGGGCAGCCACGCCAACACTCTGGTGCTCCCTGACAGGAGACACACTTCCGGGGAGGTAAGAAAAATGCAAAAAACATTTCTGTCGCTCATGTTTTATATGTGCTTTCAACAATTACATCGATATCTTGTTTTTGTTGACTTTGTCTTTTGCAGTAAGGCAATCGCTTTCAATATCCTACTAGTCTGACATTTGACCTCAACTTTCCTCAAACCATTTGATCTCAGTTGAATTATTGCTGTGACACTTTGTTTTGATTCTTCTAAACGTACACATATTCCAAAGCACACCCAAAGGAATCTTCCTATACCTACAAGTCAGTTGAGTGAAATGCTAAATGTACCTTGCTAGGTTTGACCTTTTTCCCCGGATAAGTGCATTCAAGGCCTTTCAGTATATTGCAAATCAAAAAGTTTACATTGATGTATATATTTTTTTAACAGACATTAGTCAATGAGAGTTATAATGCACATATTTTCAGATACCATAATTCTATTGCCCTTGGAATATAACAATTATTGTGTGCAAATAGGGTGGCCCAGTGGTCAACTGGTTAGCACCTTGGCCTCACAGTACAGAGGTCGCGGGTTCGATTCCGGCTCCAGTTTTTTTGTGTGGAGTTTGCATATTCTCTCCGTGCCTGCGTGGGTTCTCTCTGGGTATTCCGGTTTCCTTCCACATTCCGGAAACATGCATGGCTGGCTGATTGAACACTCAAAATTGTCCCTAGGTGTAAGTGTGAGCGTGGATGGTTGTTTGTCTATGTGTGCCCTGCGATGGGCTGGCAACCTGTTCAGGGTGTACCTCGCCTCCTGCCCGAAGACAGCTTGGAAGGGCCCAGGCGCACCCACGACCCTTGTGAGCTGATCAGAAAGTGGATGGATGGATGTGTCCAAATAATTTGGAATGTTCATGACACTGCAATAATATGTGGGCATGTGTTCAGTAAAGTAATCACTGATGAGAAACATAACTCATGGTCTGACTGTTGACTTCAGTTTTGTTTCAGAAACATTTCGTTAGAAATGCTTGGATGAGTGGATTTGTGGCTTTGACGGTTCAATTCTACTTTTTGTTTTTTGTTTTTTTTTTAATTACTGATACCAAAACCTACCCATCTTACCTGCCTATCAATTAAGTTTGCAAAATTTGTCTACCAAGGTTATACGTTTCATGCCTATACTGTACTTCATGTACTGTCTAATCTGTGGCCTATTGTAGTTAAATGGTGTAACTTTCGTGATTCAGGTTTTTTTTTAACTTAAATAGTGAGTAGTGTACTGCACATGCTTCTCAAATATCATGACTTTTTTTGACAATGCAATACAAAAATCAGGGTGTGTTTATAGAATTTGAAGGATAATGATGTGGCAGTATTTCTGTGTACACGTTGTGCAAAAAAACTGTCACTCCTTGTGCAGATTAGCAAAAACATGTTTTATTTTTTTTGTTTGTTTTCTTTTGGTCGTCGTTCTGAATCGTTGAATCATTTATGTTGATGAGACACTTGGCCTCATTTAATGAAACGAATGGTTGTAGCTTTGATTGTTTCGCAAGAATGCGGATAGTACATGGACAGAACCATGACAGAAAACGTTGCAGTGTGGCAAGGTAAATATTTGTGACTAACGTGTGACGTCCTAAAAGCAGTTCATGCTTGCTACCTCTTGGTGTCACTATGACATCAGGAGACCACAAATCGCTTGGCACTCCTCTCAGTCGTCTTTTGTCTGAATGGAGCAAAGGAAGCCGCGCGGACCAAATGCTGCAGTGCGTTCGGTCATTTCGCTCTTGTAACCGTGTCTGGTACCGGAACTGGGTTCGGTTCTGTGTTGGATAACCATGGGAAACGTTCCTACAATCTGTGAAAAGGGACGCCTCTGCTTTGGCTTTTATCTGGCTCTGCTGATTTTGTTTGGAGAGCATGTTCGGGCTCAGATAAGGTACTCTGTTCCTGAGGAGGTAAAAGACGGGACTGTGGTGGGAAACATCGCCAAGGATCTTGGGCTCGACATCAGCAGCTTGACCGATCGACGGTTCCGCGTCGTGTCTGGATCCAAGGAGTCTATTTTTGAGGTAAATACGAACAATGGGGCTCTGTATGTGCACAAACATATTGACAGAGAAGAGCTGTGCCAGGGCGGTGCTGCATGTCTCCTGGAGCTCAAAATCATTGTGGAAAACCCTCTTGAAATCCACTACGTGCTGGTCGAAATCGCAGACGTGAACGACCACGCTCCGAGCTTCCCCGAAGGCGAGCAGGTGTTCGAAATCGCCGAGCACACTTTGCCAGGGAGGAGATTTCAATTGCACACAGCCCGGGATCCAGATGCAGGGACCAACTCCATCCGTACATACACCTTGACGCAAAATGATCATTTTGAGGTCAATATCCGTCAAAGCGACGTGGGGAAGGTCCCATTTCTGGTGCTGAAGAAATCTTTGGACCGGGAACACAAGGACAAACATTCGCTGCTGGTCACAGCGGTCGATGGAGGTAAACCTCCACTTTCAGGCACTCTAAATGTGTCCATTGTTGTTCTTGACATCAATGACAATAGACCCATTTTTAGCCAGGAGATTTATGAAATTACAATTGCAGAAAATATTGAAACTGGCACTTCCGTATTCAGAGCGAACGCAACAGATCCAGATGAAGGAAGTAATGGAGAAATTGACTACATCTTTTCAAAAACGTTAAGCAGAGATATTTATGACATTTTTGAAATGGATAAAGGAACTGGAGAGATTTATGTAAAAGGAAAAATTGATTTTGAAGAAAAAGATGTGTATGAGCTGGAAATTGATGCATCAGATAAAGGAACACCTCCTCTGACAGGAGAATGTAGAATTATAATAAAAATCAAAGATGTCAATGACAATACTCCACAAATAGAAGTGACATCATTGTCAAAAAAAGTGTCTGAAGATTCTAAACCCGGTACAGTTATTTCCCTTATTAGTGTCACAGATAAAGACTCCGGTGTGAATGCTAAAGTTATTTCACAAATTACAAATAACGTACCATTTGAATTAAAACCGTCTTACAAGGAGAACATGTACTCAGTTGTCACCAAAACATTTTTGGATAGAGAGGATGTGCCACAATATGAATTAATAATAAAAGCTATAGATTGTGGTAAGCCTCCTCTATCGGCGATTAAAACTCTGAGCATCCAAGTGGCTGACGTAAATGATAACAGTCCACATTTTGAACAAACTCCGTTAGAATTCTATCTTTTTGAAAACAATATTGCCGGAGCATATGCATTTTCCGTGAGTGCAACAGAAAAAGACGTAGATGAAAATGGGGCCATTTCATATCAAATATTTAGAGATGGAAAGACAAATGACATTGCATCTTTCCTCAACATTAATTCTGACAATGGACAAATTTCAGCCCTGAAAAGCTTTGACTTTGAGACACTGAAAAGTTTCCAATTCCAAGTGGTGGCGACCGATGGTGGAAGTCCTCCACTGAGCAGCAACGTGACAGTGAAGGTGTTCATTCTGGATCAGAACGACAACGCTCCAGTCATCCTGTATCCAGTCAGCTCCAACGGTTCTGCCGAAGGAGTGGAAGAAATTCCCCGGAATCTCAAAGCAGGAGACTTGGTGACTAAAGTCCGAGCCTATGATGCCGATATCGGATACAACGGCTGGTTGCTGTTTTCGCTGCAGCAAGTCAGCGACCACAGTCTGTTTTCGTTGGATCGCTACACGGGCCAGATCCGAACACTTCGTTCCTTCACGGAGACGGACGAGGCTGAGCATCGACTGCTCATCCTGGTCAAAGACAACGGCAACGTCAAAATTTTCCAATGGCAGAGTTTTTTTGTTGTCTGATTTCATAATTTAAAACTTCGACTGTTTAAATATGTCAATATTATACCCCTTACGTCAAATTGTACTTTTTGGGTCTGTCGTGGCTACTTTCGGACAACCAGAACCACAAACTCTTTTGTATTTCCTTGTCATGGACTGAATCCCATGTGCCTGAAATGGGTTGCATTCAAGACTTCCCCTCTTCATATTAAATCGTTTGTCAACATGGACGGGAGAGCTTCATCGTGTTGTATTGTCACCTTCTGAAAGAAGCTTTTAATGGCTAACTACGCACTAATGGAGCAAATGAATGACACAGTTTTCATTTAAAAAAGTAGAAATACATTATGCTCCCCATTGAAAAGACTTACATTTTAATTTAAGAGGTTTACGGCCTCACTGCTGGTTGTACAAAATTTACTCTTAGCAATGTGAGAAAAAGGGTGTTGCTAAATAAATTTAGTGTTTGACTTACATCAGTTCTTCTCATTCATATTAATAACAATTGATTCATTTTCAATGTAACACTTTAGATTCCAGTTTATTTGCACAATGCCCTACTTTTTAAAACACTTTATGCAATAAAAGTAGCGAAAACATTTTTTTTAATCATTTATTATTGGAAAGCAAAATAAAATGCTAAATAAAATGTCAATAACGTTGATCCCTGACGCCATTGTCGGAATTTGTGCAATTTAATCAGGCAATTCTAAACTGCACATTAAAAACGGGGAAGGCAGAAAAACAAAAGCAGCAATTTGTGCCACGACTTAAAACGTTGTGGATGTTGCCCTCTGAGGTTGTGTAGCCTGCTGGCTGTTGCACTAAAATATATGCACTTGCATATGGGATTTGATTGGCGGCTCTAAATTAATATTCCTTACGTGTTGTGCCGTGATATGAATTAGGGCAGTAATATTCCTTCCCCCTTGGTGTCACTGTAATATCAGCAAGCGCAAAACGGACGCAGTCCCACCCTTGGAACATCCTTTGTTTGCCACAGCTCACCATTCAAAACAGATACGTGGACCAGGAGGATTTGCATGTACTTTCCACAGAGACATATTTTCATCGCTGTGAAAGGGACGGCATATTGTTCATAAAAGAAGAGAGGATATCGTGTCTTTGATGTCTGTTGGAACGATGGGGAGTGGAAAAGGTTGCGGCCGCTGGCTGGCTTTTGTTTTGTCTCTGCTTTTTTATTTGGGAGAACGAGCTTGGGCTGAACTTCGTTACTCCGTTCCAGAGGAGGTGAAAGAGGGAACTGTGGTTGGAAACGTTGCCAAGGATCTTGGCCTGGATAAGTATTCTCTGGTGGATCGACAGTTTCGCGTGGTGTCTGGTACGAAAGAAACGTTTTTCCAAGTCAGGCCGGACAGTGGTGCATTGGTGGTCCGTCGGAAAATCGACCGAGAAGCGCTTTGTGAGGGCAGCGCAGCGTGTGCCATGGAGCTGAAAATTCTCGTTGAAAACCCGCTGGAAATGCATCACGTCGTGGTGGAAATTACTGACGTGAACGATCACTCTCCGAGCTTTTCAGACGAAGAGCAGGTATTTGAAATAGCCGAGCATTTGTCTCCTGGGACGCGTTTTCAGCTGCTCGCAGCTCGTGATCCAGATGCTGGAACGAACTCGGTGCGCACATACACTTTGACGGCCAATGAACATTTTGAACTGGATATAAGCCCCAATGACGAGGAGAAAATACCTTTTATGGTGCTGAAAAGGCCTTTAGACCGAGAACAGAATAGTAAGCATTTTCTATTGGTTACTGCAGTTGATGGGGGAAAGCCACAAAAATCAAGCACACTAAATGTGACAATTATTGTTCTTGATACTAATGATAATCGCCCAACGTTTAGTCAAGACACTTATTCTGTGGAAATAAAAGAAAATGTGCCAATTGGCGTAAGCATTATAAGGGTAAATGCCACAGATCCCGACGAAGGAACAAATGGTGAAATAGAATTTAGCTTGGGCAAAACATTGCAAAATGTGAACGACATTTTTGAATTAGACAAGATAAGTGGGCTCATTAGGTTGAAAGGGCCTGTTGATTTTGAGGACTCGGAGATTTATAGACTTGATATTCATGCATCTGATAAAGGGCAGCCTCCTTTAACTGGGAGGTGTCGAATTATTGTGAAAATAAAAGATGTCAATGATAACCCTCCTGAAATAGAAGTCACATCCCTGTCAAGCAAAGTATCTGAAGATTCCAAACCCGGGACAGTGATTTCCCTCATTAGTGTAACGGATAAAGACTCTGCTGTGAATGGTAAAATTATTTCACAGATTACCAATGATGTGCCATTTGAATTAAAACCTTCCTACAAAGAAAACATTTACTCAGTCGTCACCAAGGAATATTTAGATAGAGAGGAAGTGTCGCAGTACAAAATAACCATCACGGCGACAGACTGTGGTGAACCTCCCTTGTCTACTTTTCAAACGTTAAGCATTCAAATATCAGATGTGAATGATAATAAACCACATTTCCACCAGTACCCACTTAACTTTTACCTTTCGGAAAATAATATTGCTGGACAGTCAGTGTTTTCTGTTAGCGCAACAGATAAGGATGTGAATGTAAATGCTGCTATTTCTTACAATATTATTAGAGCAGGGGTTGAAAATGATGTCACATCTTTTCTACATATAAATTCAGAGAATGGGCAGATCACTGCACTAAAAAGTTTTGACTTTGAGACGCTGAAAAGTTTCCAATTCCAAGTGGTGGCCACCGATGGTGGAAGTCCTCCACTGAGCAGCAACGTGACAGTGAAGGTGTTCATTCTGGATCAGAACGACAACGCTCCAGTCATCCTGTATCCAGTCAGCTCCAACAGTTCTGCCGAAGGGGTGGAGGAGATTCCCCGCAACCTGAAAGCAGGAGACTTGGTGACTAAAGTCCGAGCCTATGACGCCGATATCGGATACAACGGCTGGTTGCTGTTTTCGCTGCAGCAAGTCAGCGACCACAGTCTGTTTTCTTTGGACCGCTACACGGGCCAGATCCGAACACTTCGCTCCTTCACGGAGACGGACGAGGCTGAGCATCGACTGCTCATCCTGGTCAAAGACAACGGCAACGTTTCGCTCTCGGCAACAGCTACTGTGACCATCAGACTTGTGGAGCCCAAAGAGGCTTTTGCAGCTTCCGATGTCAAAAGTGCATCAAAAGAGGACGAAGAGGACAATGTGACTTTTTATCTCATCATCACTTTGGGCTCGGTGTCGCTCCTTTTTGTCATCAGCATCATCGTGCTGATCGCCATGCAGTGCTCCAAATCCATGGAGTACACTTCCAAATATCTGCAAGACGCCAATTATGATGGCACGCTGTGTCACAGCATCCAGTACAGATCAGGAGACAAGCGCTACATGCTAGTCGGACCCAGAATGAGTATCGGTTCGACCGTAGTTCCGGGCAGCCACGCCAACACTCTGGTGCTCCCTGACAGGAGACACACTTCGGGGGAGGTAAGAATCTGACAAACAATAACCTTCAAAGGCTGTGCACTGCATTGTTGATTGACATGTTAATCCCCTGCCCGACATGCGTGTGGAGGGATGTATCGTTGAAATCATCATCTTTTCACTACCGTGCAATACAGTTCCTGCTTTCCTGTAACAAATGAAATTTCAGTCTGTCATTGCTTTTGTTCGGACTGCCGAGGTCCAGTGTTGGAAATCATCATGCCCTTGCCAAGGGGTAACTTTATGTACTGCTCTCTGGATCCCAAAAAGCGTTGCCTAACTATGAAGAAAGTACGTTAATTTTTGGTCGGATGAGTGAAGTGAGGAGAGGATCATGCTGCTCTCCAAGGTGCTGAAATTTCAACTGGATTCTTTCGCTCGAAGAAAAGAGGGAACTGTGTAATTCCTGAACCTCTTGACTAGTCTATTTTTCACGAGTACAGATATTTTTTAGTATTTTTTTCTTTTTTTTTAATAGAAAAAACAGCCACCACTATTGAAGACTAAATCTGTCTCCCATAGCAATTACTTAGTGATTATTTATTTATTTATTTATTACATATGATTGTTCTTCTTTCATTTTCTTGATGAATAAAGTCACATGGTATAGTGCATGTATTTGATAATTGATAATGAAACTATTTATAATATCCTGAAGATGTCGCTGTGACACCAATAAGGCCATTAACAAGCGGGTCCTGCTGTGGGCTTTTGTCTGCAATCTAAAGAGAGCGTTCATTTGTTCCGGGACTCCGAATAGTGCGGTTTGATTTCTGATGACATTGCCACCATCGCTGGGACTGGACAGATTTATTATTGTTATTATTTTTTTTTTTGTGTGGCGCGCTCGTCTTGTTTACATAACAATGAAAGGAGAACGAGGACGTCAAACAAGGAGGTTATTGTGCTTTCTTCTGCATTCGTCTCTGCTGTTGTTTTTCGGGGAGTGTGCTTTGGCCGAGCTTCGTTACTCTATTCCCGAGGAAATGGCGACTGCAACTGTTGTGGGCAACGTTGCAAAAGATCTCGGACTGGACAGAAGCTCACTGAGTGACAGGCGTTTCAGAGTGGTGTCAGAAGCCGTGGACGCATATTTCGAGGTAAACGCAGACAATGGCGCCCTGCAAGTCCGACGCAAAATTGACCGGGAGGAGCTTTGTCAGGGGAGCGCCGCCTGCTTGATGGAGCTCAAGATCCTGGTTGAGAATCCCCTTGAGGTGCATTATATTGTGGTGGATATCATAGATGTGAACGACCACAGTCCTGTTTTTTCCCAAAAGAAACAGATTTTTGAAATAGCTGAACATTCATCACCAGGAACACGATTCCAGCTGCACGCAGCCAGTGATCCAGATGCTGGAATGAACTCGGTGCGCACGTACACGCTATCGCCTAATGAACACTTTGAACTCGATATTGTTCAAAGTGACGATGAAAAACTACCCTTTTTGGTTCTGAAGAGGTCATTAGACAGAGAACATAAAAATAGGCACTTCCTATTTGTTACTGCAATAGATGGAGGGAAACCTCAAAAGTCAGGCATGCTTAATGTTTCCATTATTGTGCTTGACATCAATGATAATCGACCCATTTTTAATCAGGACACTTATAATGTTGAAATTTACGAAAATGTGGCAGGTGGTACAATTGTAACACGAGTGAACGCAACAGATCCAGACGAAGGTACAAACGGTGAAATAGAATATAGCCTGAGCAAGACTTTGGCAAGCAAAGTGTCTGATATTTTTGAAATCGATAGCTTGAGTGGCCAAATTAAGTTGAAAGGGCCGGTGAACTACGAGGAATCGGAGATTTATAAAATAGAAATTGAGGCCTCTGACAAAGGAACACCACCACTGACAAGCAGGTGTCGTGTGGTTGTGAAAATAAAAGATGTCAATGATAATCCACCTGTCATCGAAGTGACGTCACTGTCAAATAAAGTGTTAGAGGACTCAAAGCCTGGTACGGTTATTTCCCTTATTAGTGTTAAGGATAAAGACTCTGGTGTAAATGGTAAAATCATTTTGCATATCACCAACAATGTCCCTTTTGAATTAAAACCTTCCTATAAGGAGAACACATATTCAGTTGTTACAAAGGGATTCTTGGATCGTGAAGAAGTTTCTCATTATGAAATAACAATTCAAGCTACAGATTGCGGAGATCCTCCTTTGTCTAGTTCTAGAACATTTGTCATCGAGTTATCTGACGTGAATGACAACAATCCATGTTTTGAACAAAGCCCGTTTAATTTTTACCTGGTAGAAAACAACATCGCAGGAGCATCAGTGTTCTCCTTAAGGGCAATTGATAATGACGTGAATGAAAATGCGGTTATTCAATACAAAATAGCTCGAACTGAGAAGGATAACGCAGTAACATCTTTTATGAATATAAATTCTGAAAATGGAGACGTCGCCGCATTAAAAAGTTTCGATTTTGAGACTGTGAAAAGTTTCCAATTTCAAGTAGTGGCCACCGACGGTGGAAGTCCTCCACTGAGCAGCAACGTGACAGTGAAGGTGTTCATTCTGGATCAGAACGACAACGCTCCAGTCATCCTGTATCCAGTCAGCGCCAACGGTTCTGCTGAAGGGGTGGAGGAAATTCCCCGCAACCTGAAAGCAGGAGACTTGGTGACTAAAGTCCGAGCCTATGATGCCGATATCGGATATAACGGCTGGTTGCTGTTTTCGCTGCAGCAAGTCAGCGACCACAGTCTGTTTTCTTTGGACCGCTACACGGGCCAGATCCGAACACTTCGCTCCTTCACGGAGACGGATGAGGCTGAGCATCGACTGCTCATCCTGGTCAAAGACAATGGCAACATTTCACTGTCGGCAACAGCCACTGTGATCGTCAAACTTGTGGAGCCCAAAGAGGCTTTTGCAGCTACCGATGTGAAAAGTGCAGCAAAAGTGGACGAGGAGGACAACGTGACTTTTTATCTCATCATCACTTTGGGCTCAGTGTCGCTCCTTTTTGTCATCAGCATCATCGTGCTGATCGCCATGCAGTGCTCCAAATCCACAGAGTACACTTCCAAATATCTGCAAGACGCCAATTATGATGGCACGCTGTGTCACAGCATCCAGTACAGATCAGGAGACAAGCGCTACATGCTAGTCGGACCCAGAATGAGTATCGGTTCCACCGTAGTCCCGGGCAGCCACGCCAACACTCTGGTGCTCACTGACACGCGACACAATTGTGATGAAAAACACTTGGCATCATCCTGCTGTTGTTTCAGTTGGCTGTTATTTATTTGTAGGTATATTCCACTTGAAATAACACATGAGCATTGCTTCTCTTTGCGTTTTCCGGCAGTCATACTTCCCATCAGGAGTCAGGCTTATGATGGGATCAAGATGGCCTGATCAACAATAATCTATATTCAGCCCAGTTTTGCATTTCACTGTGGTTTGCTTTCCTGCAGTATAAAAATGAGTACTGTACAGTATTCAAAGATTAAAATTGCAGTTATTCGCACAACAGTAAATAAATAGTTCCCCCTACAGTATATACATTTTTTACACACAGGTACATATATCAGGAACATTAAAAAAATTAATAAAACAGAAACAACAAATACGCCACGATATTTGACATTTTACAGTTTAGTAGTGAGCTCAAACGGAGGTGGATGTGACTTAGCTGTCTGTTATAAATGCACACAATATCAAAAGAGCACGCTGTCTCGTGTTTTTATGGGTGCAAAAATCCACAATAAACATTAAATATTTACCCTTCTGCAGCTGGCATCCAAACTCCACACATTTGAGTCGTGTTCGGACGTCACGTGTTCACCGCATGACAGAAAACGTTGCAGTGTGGCAAGGTAAATATTTGTGACTAACGTGTGACGTCCTAAAAGCAGTTCATGCTTGCTACCTCTTGGTGTCACTATGACATCAGGAGACCACAAATCGCTTGGCACTCCTCTCAGTCGTCTTTTGTCTGAATGGAGCAAAGGAAGCCGCGCGGACCAAATGCTGCAGTGCGTTCGGTCATTTCGCTCTTGTAACCGTGTCTGGTACCGGAACTGGGTTCGGTTCTGTGTTGGATAACCATGGGAAACGGTACTACAATCTGTGAAAAGGGACGCATCTGCTTTGGCTTTTATCTGGCTCTGCTGATTTTGTTTGGAGAGCATGTTCGGGCTCAGATAAGGTACTCTGTTCCCGAGGAGGTAAAAGACGGGACTGTGGTGGGAAACATCGCCAAGGATCTTGGGCTCGACATCAGCAGCTTGACCGATCGACGGTTCCGCGTCGTGTCTGGATCCAAGGAGTCTATTTTTGAGGTAAATACGAACAATGGGGCTCTGTATGTGCACAAACATATTGACAGAGAAGAGCTGTGCCAGGGCGGTGCTGCATGTCTCCTGGAGCTCAAAATCATTGTGGAAAACCCTCTTGAAATCCACTACGTGCTGGTCGAAATCGCAGACGTGAACGACCACGCTCCGAGCTTCCCCGAAGGCGAGCAGGTGTTCGAAATCGCCGAGCACACTTTGCCAGGGAGGAGATTTCAATTGCACACAGCCCGGGATCCAGATGCAGGGACCAACTCCATCCGTACATACACCTTGACGCAAAATGATCATTTTGAGGTCAATATTCGTCAAAGCGACGTGGGGAAGGTCCCATTTCTGGTGCTGAAGAAATCTTTGGACCGGGAACACAAGGACAAACATTCGCTGCTGGTCACTGCGGTCGATGGAGGTAAACCTCCACTTTCAGGCACTCTAAATGTGTCCATTGTTGTTCTTGACAGCAATGACAATAGACCCATTTTTAGCCAGGAGATTTATGAAATTACAATTACAGAAAATATTGAAACTGGCACGTCCATATTCAGAGTGAACGCAACAGATCCAGATGAAGGAAGTAATGGAGAAATTGACTACATCCTTTCAAAAACGTTAAGTAGAGATATTTATGACATTGTTGAAATGGATAAAGGAACTGGAGAGATTTATGTAAAAGGAAAAATTGATTTTGAAGAAAAAGATGTGTATGAGCTGGAAATTGATGCATCAGATAAAGGAACACCTCCTCTGACAGGAGAATGTAGAATTATAATAAAAATCAAAGATGTCAATGACAATACTCCACAAATAGAAGTGACATCATTGTCAAAAAAAGTGTCTGAAGATTCTAAACCCGGTACAGTTATTTCCCTTATTAGTGTCACAGATAAAGACTCCGGTGTGAATGCTAAAGTTATTTCACAAATTACAAATAACGTACCATTTGAATTAAAACCGTCTTACAAGGAGAACATGTACTCAGTTGTCACCAAAACATTTTTGGATAGAGAGGATGTGCCACAATATGAATTAATAATAAAAGCTATAGATTGTGGTAAGCCTCCTCTATCGGCGATTAAAACTCTGAGCATCCAAGTGGCTGACGTAAATGATAACAGTCCACATTTTGAACAAACTCCGTTAGAATTCTATCTTTTTGAAAACAATATTGCCGGAGCATATGCATTTTCCGTGAGTGCAACAGAAAAAGACGTAGATGAAAATGGGGCCATTTCATATCAAATATTTAGAGATGGAAAGACAAATGACATTGCATCTTTCCTCAACATTAATTCTGACAATGGACAAATTTCAGCCCTGAAAAGCTTTGACTTTGAGACACTGAAAAGTTTCCAATTCCAAGTGGTGGCGACCGATGGTGGAAGTCCTCCACTGAGCAGCAACGTGACAGTGAAGGTGTTCATTCTGGATCAGAACGACAACGCTCCAGTCATCCTGTATCCAGTCAGCTCCAACGGTTCTGCCGAAGGAGTGGAAGAAATTCCCCGGAATCTCAAAGCAGGAGACTTGGTGACTAAAGTCCGAGCCTATGATGCCGATATCGGATACAACGGCTGGTTGCTGTTTTCGCTGCAGCAAGTCAGCGACCACAGTCTGTTTTCGTTGGATCGCTACACGGGCCAGATCCGAACACTTCGTTCCTTCACGGAGACGGACGAGGCTGAGCATCGACTGCTCATCCTGGTCAAAGACAACGGCAACGT